GGCCATTTCTGAAAAAGAATATTTACACAGGGATCAAAAAATTAGTATATCTGACATATGATCCAAACACCTCAATGCAAACGCAACAAGTAGCAGTTACAATTATCATGTCTAAGTTTGCAGTGACGTTGAAAGCTATCCCACCAGTATTTCAAATACCATCTGGGCCCCCTATGGTAACAGGTTTCAGTGGGGCTCCCAGACTGAAACAAGACTTGGAAGCAGGACTGGCCATCCAGTTCTACAACAGGCCTGCTAAAACCCTATGAAGCCAGGCACATTGTTGGACAAAGTACTGAGATGCTGGGGATGACACAGGATTGGGCAGGGTTCAAATCTGTTGATCATAGGGTTGCTATGTGCTGTAGTGGGCTTGATGACGCCTCACAAGAAGGAACACTAAAAAGGTTTATTAATGCTAACGATAAACATGTACCCGCTTTTTGACACTATGCATGTAGAAAAGAATTTTAAGAAGCCATTAATAATGTTACTGAAATGTAGAAATGTTCCCACCCAAAAAGTTTTTATTTAAAACTAACGCTAAAGCAAAATTAGACCCCAAACCAGATTTTTCACTAGAGTGATATTTTAAAGTTATTGCTTCTGAGTTATCTTTGGTTGGATTTGAACCACTAACTTTTTGGTTACTAGAATGTGCACTAATCATTTGTACCACCCAGAAACTCCATATATATGTGTCTACTCCTATCAAAGAATCACAAATAAAAGTGGATAATTCGACCATCTAAATACCTTTTTTCTCAAAAACTCATAAGCACAGGGTTGGAAGTGACTCATAGCTGAGGCGAGAGCAGATTTTTGAGAGGATGCAAATCTCGTGAGAGGATCTTTTACCAGTGGTGTCACTAGTGGATTCAAACCAGAAAACAGGTGCCCCCCCCCAGGTTAGTGGGACAACTGCCTATGGAATATGCCACCAGAGCACCCTAAATGTCTTATCAGCTAATAGCAAATAGCTGCAAAGATAACACTGGGTGTTAAAGAGGCAGAAAATCCGGATTAAATATCTGGATGTACTGGCGTAATATAGCTCGAATCTTCTGGTACTCATCACATTTGCATTACTTACATGACTTTTCGAAATTCATATTTATGATGAACAACCACTTAAATGATAAATTCCCAGACTCACATAATGATGGGAAAACACATTACATACAAAATACTTTCAACTGTGTCCCAATTTAATGCAAAAATTCCCTCATGCTCAAATCTCAAGTGTAATTTGGTAAATCAGTATGAATTAAATATATCTAAAACAAACAAACACAAAAGATGACTGAATGCTCTCTAGGTGACTGATGTTTGCTGCTGGAAGTCACACAGCCATGCAGGGAAGTAAATGAAGGCTCTCTTCCTTACAACCTTGCTCAAACTTAATTTGTGAGGCAAACCTAAAAATACACATGTGTGGTTTTGTCGCTCCCCCCACCCCAATGGTCTGAATCAAATGATGAAGGTGTCTTCTTTAAGACCTTTGGGTCTTTGTATTTTCAGAAAGGTTTATAATGATTTAATTGAACTAACATTAATTTACACATAAATAGAAATTAAGACATAAAGGTGGTATGCCAATATGATGGGGGGGGAATTAAGAAAAAGGTTTGATAGGTTTACATTTCACTTTGCAATAATTTATTTCGGTTTTTGTTAATATTTTTGCAATGATTTATCATTAGATTAATACAATCCTGAGTTCTATTTTTCCTGATAAAATATATTTAAAATCAATGTATTATCAGTAAGCTAAAAGATCTAGCAAGTCATACAATTAACCAGCATTGAACCTCAAACTGAAGACTTTTTTAAAACTGCAATCTTGCTTTTAGAAATGAACTAAAAGTAACAAAACTCTGATTATTTTGAAAACTATTGTTTATTTATATTATCAAGTATAATTCTGAATAGATGAGGCAATTAATAAATTCACCTATATACTTTCCTATATACTTTCTTAATCAGGAGAAGAATCTTAAGTACACTCTTGTTTTCATAAAGAATTATACCTCTTTGGACCACTAGCTCAGCTGGAATCAGGACCCTGGTCTCCGAAACCTTCTAGAATCATCTGAAAAACTCTCAGATCTCTTAAGTCTCCACAAGGCGAGAGGGTAGTAACAATGATAGTGAGAAACAATAGCTCGAAAGAGTGGCCTTGAGAAACTTGTTAAAAAGACCTCTGACCATCAAAGTGCACGTTTTACTAAGGATTACAATAGTTATAATAGACTTTAATAATTTTTCTCCTTTTGCACTGATCAATGTAAACGTTTTAATTAAACATTTTGAGAAGGTCTGTGCAATAATGAGTTACAGACCATTTCGGTTATACATATATAAACTTTCTGCCTCTGTACAGCACATGGCAAAAGTTCTTTTACAGCACACAGACATCCTGCCTCATAGTACTATTCTTTTCATTTTTGTTTCATCTTTATTTGTACTTTTATTTAAGACAAATATAGATCCTCACTTATGTTTATAGTCCTTCCCTTAACACAGTGCACAGAAGGGACTCAGTAAGTGTTTGGTTAAAAAATATATTCACCAGAAAAAAAAATATATATTCACTACTTTCCAAGCATCATCAATTTTAAGTGAAAGCTGTTGGCCTTGTTATCTTGAGTCATTGGTATTATCTCTATTCAGAGAACATATAGAAACTTTTAAAAATAATTTTAACTACAAAAATACAATTTGGCACATGAGTCAACTCAAAAGAAAGTCTTGCTAACATTAAAACGATTGCTCTGGCATCACTCACTCATTCAAAAACACTACAAGAAACCAAGGTTAGAAAAGAACTTGATTTCTCAAAAAAAAAAAAAAAAGAAAAGAACTTGATTTCTCAAGCAACTTTTCATAAGCAGCATTTAAAAGATGCCTTCTGTATAAAAATCTACTTAGTGTTAAAATAAGCTTTCTTAGAGTATATATAAAATATAAAGTCAGGTGAAATAGAATTAAAATATTATATAAATATGATTAATGGCATATCTGAAAATAATGTTAATGTACACCATAACGCAAAAGACTTTGAATTTTATACTAAAAGTTTTAAGTGTAAAAGTCAAAGGATTTTGCATCACGATGTACACTGATGAAAGGCAAAAGGTCTATTATAATTGTAAATAAATGATAGTTCTAATTTTTATATTTAATAGGTTTATCTTGAGACTGAATGTTAAACTCATCACAGCGTTCAGATAAAACTGAAAGGCACAGTTTCCCATACTTCTAAGATAATGAATTGTTCAATAATTTATTGTTGTCTGACTTTACACTTAAGGTTAAATCTGAATTTTGTTTTTATTCGGGTTAGTGTGCATGTGGAAAAATGGTCCAGAACGATGCAAACAAATATTTGAAAATTCTTGCATAAATATTCTAGGGAAGAGGATGCCTCTTAAGCAGGAAGGGTTTACTGGGGGAGGGGGGATTTAAAAACAAATAAAAATACTGCAATAAAGCTAATAAACTGTATTCATATATTCCATATTAAATGAAAACCCTGTCCATTCTACCTATATGGAATGCAAACGAATTCTACACAACTGGTTCTCTTGGTTAATTCTTCAATCCCAGAATCTGAAACGTCCATTTAACCCATTCACTCAACATACATTTTACTCTACTCTCGAAATTGTATGAACAGATGTTACAGTTTTGCTTGGTGGCTGTTCAATAGATGGAAGGAGCCCAAGAGAGGTAGTGGTTAAGCGCATGCCTGCTAGCCAAGGACAAGCTGGGAGAAGGAAGTAAGGACTCACAGGCTCCACCGCTGGGCCAGGCAGAGCTCGCGGGGCCAGGCTGGGCCTGGGTGCGCCGCTCCGGCTTCGCTCCGCCCCAGCACCTACCTTGACTGGGTGCAGGTAGCCGTCGCCGCGCAGGGTCCCCAGCCCGGGCTCCGCCGGCGTCTCGGCATCGTCCTGCAGGCTGCGAGTGAGATGCGCAATGTAGGTGGTGGCCAGCAGCAGCACGTCCAGCTTGGACAGCTTGGTGTCGGGCGGCACCGACGGCAGCGTGCGCTGCAGCTCCAGGAACGCGTGGCGCAGGGTCTGCACGCGGCTGCGCTCCCTTGCCGCGTTCGCCGCCGCCGGACGCCCGCCCGCCGAGCGCGTGCTGCCGCCCGACGCCGACCTGCCTGGGCTCGGGTCGCGAGCCGCCAGGGCGGCCGAGGGCTCAGGCTCCGTGCCGGCGTGGCGGGACCCGTCCCGGTCCATGGCGGCTGCCGGCCGGTGCGCTGCAAAGGAGCAGGGGCGCGCGGTGAGGTGGGCGCCGGCGGCCGGGAAGGCCCGGGACGGCCAGATCCGTCTGCCGCCCTGCAAGGCTCCAGGGGAGTCCTCAGAGACGACTGGGGTGAGTCTTGCCACCTTACGAGTGGGGAGAAGTTAGGGAGCTGAGAATTGCCAGCCACCTTCCTGACTTTGTCTTATTACAAACAAATTTGGCTAAAGCTTTTCTACGGTGAAACGTTATCTTTAAACTCACTTCTTTGGGGGCAATCGCTTCGGAAATACTAGCCCCTCTCCTCCAAAGAGAGTACAATCTTTCTCCTGGAGCGCGGAAGGGTTGCGGGAAGGGCATGCGGTGCCCCGGGGCAACCTCGTCCTCGCCACCCCCCAGGGTGTCCAGTCCTCGCCCGTCGATGGCCCAGAGCGGCCTTGCCGATGAGGCGCGGGTCCCAGGGGGTGGTTGGAGCTCGGGGAATGTCTGCTGGAGGGGGGGACCCGCAGCCTCACCTGGGGAGCTCGCGGCGCTGCGGGTCGGATGGGGCGGCCGCTCTGCGGGACTCTCACCTTTCCTGGACCCGAACGAGGCGTCGGTGGGTTAGGTCCTGCCGCTCACTCCATCGGGTCCTGCCGGCCTACTAGCTGCACCTTTTATGTGGCTGCTAGTGGCGTCCACGACGGGTACAGGCCCCGTGTCCACCTGACGCCCGGCGGGACCCCGCGGAGCCACTCCCTCCGAGGAGAGTTAATCAAACTGCCCGGCGGGGCGGGGTGTCCCAAGGCTCCGCCCCCAGGGCGCGCCCCTGTTGGAGTTTGTGCGCCCTGAAATTGCTTCGGAAAGCTTCCAAGGCTGTTGATGTTTCTAGGGAAGCTGGTAGACGCGTCTGCTTCCAGTCTGCCACGTTTGAGTGAGCAGCCAGGCTTAACCACTCCACCCCAAGCGACACAGCCCCCATTCTTCGTGAGCCGGGATGACCAAGGCAACCTCAGTTTAGGGGCGCCCTCAGTTTAGGCCTCGTTACGAAGCCTGGACTCCGCAGAGCTGGAGCCCTGCACCTCGCTGCCGGCCCCTTTTCTGGAGCTCAGGCCCGAGCCCGGCTAATGCCAGCCGGTCTCCACCTGCGCTGAGATGGAGCTGCAGGAATGCTCTTCCTTGCTGAGAGTGACTTTTCCTTTTCTTTCAGAAAACGTTAATGTAACAGGTAGAAATGCTAACTTTTGAGTCTTTCTACTACAGGGCAGATGCTTCTAGTTGTCTTGATTATTTAAAACGTTAGTCCCTTCTGGGGCACATTAGGGAGCAGCGGAAAACTTTTTTTATCATTAGGGATAAGCTGGGCTCCCGTCGATGCTCTTTTCAGAATTTGGGAACAACCCTGGCCTGTGGCGAGGCTGCAGACGTTGAGCCGATTGCGCTGGCCCAGTGGCCCGCCAGCCTACCCGCCACCACTTTGTCCTTTCCCATTTGGGGGATAAGATTCTTTCCTGGCTGCAGGAAACTTGTCTGCGGTGGTTTATGCGTTAGAACCAGCGGGGTCAGCGCACGCACTGCATGGAGAAGCAGCTTGGCCTGGCTCCTTTGCCAATGCTGCGCCCAAGTAGGCTGGCTGCTCCAGGGCGAAGTGGCTTCAACCCTGCGGAGCCCAGTCCTTTCAGGGCTTTCTTCATCTTCAACAGGACACGTCTGAGTGGGAGCGTCATTTACTCTATCTTCATAACTAGTACATACTTGAAAAATGCCTGCACTCCAAAGAGCAGGATATTAACTGATGTGGAATCAAAACATTTACACCACCATTAATTAAACTGTTCAGGTATATACCATACACTCCATGTTTTACAGTTGTTGATTGCCGTCGAGTCGAGCACGATAGACTTTAGGAGAGCTGGTAGCTATTGTCCATAGGGAGTTGTGCTGTTAACTGAAAGACAAGGCCCCTCTGGTGGTTTGAATTTACCAACTGCTCTGCAAAAGAGAGCTAGGTAGTCTCCTCCCATGCGATTTACAGCCTACAAAACCCTCTGGTGGGTCAGTGCCAAATCAGTGGCAATAAGTAGAGCAGTAATAGAACTAAGCAGTAAATTGTCATCATGGGGTTCCTTGCCTTTGGATGTATTGGTCCACACATTAATGAATCCACTTATTAGTGAATCTTCAGACTTTCCTCTCAGTTCTCATCATTTATCTGCAGTTATAAGAACGGAGCACAGCATCATTTCATTGGCTTTGAAAGGGTTACTTACTTTTGGTGAATGAGAAATCATCTTTATTTTTTCCAATAAATTGCATGTAATGAGCAATAACACTATTAAATCCATGCATTTACACTTGGAAATCAATGTTTCAGACCTCGTAAAGAAGCAAAATCAAACAAGAATCTAGAGGTTTTGTTTAAATATGAGATTCTGTAAAATTACAGATCCATAAAAGATGTTCAGAGCAGGACATTTCAGATCATCGTGGTCGGAATGAACTAATTTTTAATTGTTGTTGTTGTTGTTATGTGCCGTCGAGTCGTTTCCGACTCATAGCGACCCTATGCACAACAGCCCTAAACCCTGCTCTGTCCTGCGCCAAACGCACTGCCTCTGACACACCCATCCCGATTATCCCAGTCACCGAATCAATCCATCTCATAGAGGGCCTTCCCCTCCTGTGCTGTCCCTCCACCCTCCCAAGCATGATGTCCCTCTCCAAGGACCCGTCCCTCCTGGCAGCATGTCCAAAGTATGTCAGACGAAGCTCCAGAATCCTTGCCTCCAAGGAGTAGCTTGGTTTAATCCTCTCCAAGATAAATCTGTTTGTTTTCCTGGCAGTCCAGGGTACATTCAGTACCCTTCTCCAGCACCATAGCTCAAAAGCATCCACTCTCCTTCTGTCCTCCCTAGTCATTGTCCAACTCTCTGATGCATAACAAGCGATTGCAAATACCATGCCTGTATCAGGTGCACCTTAGTCTCCAGAGAGACACTGTTGCTCCTGAGTACTTTAGAGAGGTCCGTAACAGCAGACTTTCCCATCGCGATACGCTTTTTGATTTCCTGACTGCTGGTGCCAAGAGTGTTGACTGTGGAGCCGAGCAAACTGAAGCTGTGAACAATCTCAATCTCTTTGTCATCCATCCTGACGCTGCCAATTGGTCCAGTGGTGAGAATCTTTGTCTTCTTGACATTGAGCCTCAGTCCATACTGAAGGCTGCAGTCCTTGACCCTTCGCAGCAAGTGCATGAGGTCCTCCTCAGTTTCAGCAAGCAGGGTTGTGTCATCTGCATAACGGAGATTGTTAATAGACCTTCCACCAATCCTGATGCCACAATTCTCCTCATAGAGCCCAGCCTCTCGGATAATCTGCTCTGCATACATGTTGAAAAGGTATGGAGACAGGATACATCCCTGGTGTACACCCTTCCCAATTTTGAACCATGCAGTGTTACCCTGCTCTGTTCTGACTACTGCCTTTTGGTCCAAGTATAGGTTTCGTATTAGCACAATTAAATGTTCTGGGATTCCTATTCTTCTCAGAGTCAGCCACAGTTTGTTATGATCCACACAGTCAAATGCCTTTGCATAATCAATGAAACACAGATAGACATTCTTATGGTATTCTCTGCTTTCAACCAAGATCCATCTAACATCAGCAACAATATCCCTAGTACCACGACCCCTTCTAAACCCAGCCTGGACTTCCGGCAGTTCTCTGCTGATGTGCTGTTCTAATCGTTTTTGGATGATCTTCAGCAGAATCTTGCTTGCATGTGAAATCAATGACACTGTTCTGTAGTTTCCACACTCAGTTGGGTCACCTTTCTTTGGAACGGGAACAAATAGTGTTCTTTTTATTTGAGTATACAGACAAAGCGAAATTCATGTACATTTTTATTGCCTGCAAGTTTTACATTTCCTTCAAAGGAAGATTTTTCTATTGATAGATTTTTTTAAAAAAAAAATGGTTACATTTCAAGGTTACAGAAATTTTATGAAGCTGACTTGAATATCTTTATCTTGTGATCAGGGCTGTTGGATTCTAATCCTTTGGATGGTAATTGGGAACTTTAACCATGGTACTACCAGGACTCCTTGAGAGGTTCCTAACCAAACAAAGGAGAGCCACCACAGTCAGTAGAATCTGACTGGTAACAGTCCTTCTTTGGGTTTCAAGTCAGTGCATGTTCACAGGAGCAACTGCGGAGCTTTACATTAGCTACCTAAAGTATTATGTACATGGGCTCCTCTGAGGTCCCCAGGGCTCCTTACGTTTTATGAACCTGGCAGTTTACTTGGCTCTCCCTCGCTCAGGCTGGGGGTCTCCTGTTAGTACAGGAGGAGAGGAGGGGCATTGATGCCCTTTTTATGTGAAAGTGTGAAAGGTAACAGAACAAACCACCACAGGGCAGCCCCTTGCTGTGTCTTCAGCTAGGCCAAGCAGCCACTCCAAAACCTCTGATAGGGATGCTTCTGGAATAGTCCTACTTATTGAAAGAAAGAAGCTGCTCTTGGCCAGTTAATGTCAAAATATTAAAATCTTTTTAAATTCTCTTACATTACACAATCAGTAACATGTACTCTTATTTTATATGTGTTAAGGGCTCTATAGGAGGCTCTGGTGGGTATTTTCTCATTTAACTAGCCAGAAGGTTTTATGTTTTACATTTTGGAAAATGAAACTCGGACTTTAACTCTCTTCTTTAAATTTATATAATTAATAAGTGGCAAAGATAGCATTCAAGCCTGGAAGACTGATTCTGAATTTGTGCTCTTTTACCCTCTATTCTGTTTGTAAGGGAACATTATAATTTACATTTTTGTATTGTCTTAGTTAAGAGCATACTTTTAATAACTTGACTATCTGTAATTATCAATTCAGATACTTCTTAGATATCATTCTTTGAAATTCTTGTTTCACATTCCAGAAAGTCAGTCTGAATTAAGCCTTTAAAATGATACTTGTTTCTTTTTTCTAATGATGTCATGTAATTTATAATTTTAACTTA